TTTGTGTCCATGAAAGAGAGTGGGAGGAGGGGCTGGTAAAGGAAGGGTGAGGGAGAGGAAACACCCATAAACAGTGCCACGGCATGTCAGCTGTTTCATTTTGTGGGTTTATGTGCAATCTCCACAAATACCTAAAGACAGGTGGCTCACAGCATTACTACCACTAAGCTAGTTCTATGGAAGGAACATCTTAACAAAAGCTGTGCTGCAATCAATGTAATCCACCTGTTCCAAGAGACTCTCAGGTGATACTTTGACTTTTTTGGTGTCCGCTTTTTAAAAATGGGTAAGAACCCTAATAGGTTGCCTGACCTGATCTTAATTTTTCTATTTTTTGAGACAGAGTTTTGCTCTTGTTGCCAGGCTGGAGTGCAATGGCGTGATCTCAGCTCACCACAACCTGTCTCCCAGGTTCAAGCAGTTCTCTTGACTCAGCCTCCTAAGTAGCTGGGATTACAGGCACGCCCCACCACGCCCAGCTAATTTTGTATTTTCAGTAGAGATGGGGTTTCACCACGTTGGTTAGGCTGGTCTCAACCTCAGGTGATCCACCCGCCTCAGCCTCCCAAAGTGCTGGGATTGTAGGTGTGAGCCTCTACACCCAGCCTCCTCTCTGTTTTTTCTTGGGACATCTAAAGACAGTGTCAGGTTGTGATTCCACTTGTGGCCAGGTACATAGGAGAATGTAGAAAGCTTCGGGGTCATGTTCTGTAATCTCCCACGGAACGAGAAGAGGGAGCAAAGATAAGTGACCCTGCGAGAGGCAGCTCACGGAGACCCAGTGACGGGAACATCTGATCAGGACAGCTCACGGAGACCCAGTGACGGGAACTTCTGATCAGGGCAGCTCACGGAGACCCAGTGACGGGAACATCTGATCAGGGCAGCTCACGGAGACCCAGTGACGGGAACATCTGATCAGGGCAGCTCACGGAGACCCAGTGACGGGAACATCTGATCAGGGCAGCTCACGGAGACCCAGTGACGGGAACATCTGATCAGGGCAGCTCACGGAGACCCAGTGACGGGAACATCTGATCAGGGCAGCTCACGGAGACCCAGTGACGGGAACATCTGATCAGGGCAGCTCACGGAGACCCAGTGACGGGAACATCTGATCAGGGCAGCTCACGGAGACCCAGTGACGGGAACATCTGATCAGGGCAGCTCACGGAGACCCAGTGACGGGAACATCTGATCAGGGCAGCTCACGGAGACCCAGTGACGGGAACATCTGATCAGGGCAGCTCACGGAGACCCAGTGAAGAGAACATCTGATCAGTTTGATTTTGAGTCCACTGTACAGTAAAGCCCCTGAATGCTGATCAAAAAGTAGCCTTGGAAACAGGAGCCTGGTGTTGTGCTCTCGCTGGGACTGATATGGGAATGAGCCAGGACATACAAAGGATTAGTTCAAGGCAGAGTTTCAACGGGTCGCGAGTTCCCTTATTTTTTGGCTTTTATTTTCAACTTGTGTAGCATTAAATCCTTTGTCTCATGTTCCTGGGCCAGCCATCTGAATATATCAAAGTTCCAAAAAGTTGAATATGTGGCTTTTTCATTTCAGTGTCCTTTAGTGGTTCTTGGAGAGAAAGTCTCTGAATTCCGAGAGCCAGGTAACCATCTAAATCATTCTAAGATTTAGAAGCCAGCATCGTCCCCGCTTTCCACAAAATAGGACTGTAAAGCTGTAGTGTTTCAGATGTTGAGGGAGGGGGCTGTCCCTTCACTGGCTGAATGGGTTATGATGTGTTTATGAGTGAAAGGAATACTTCGTGGTTATCAGCATCTGAGGACCAGAATACTGTTTGATGTGCAAAGCTTATATTACACTTTCTGATTCAGAGCAAATTCTCAAATCTTATCCCAGTAACATAGAAAATATTTCAAATACTGGGGAGAAAAATGGTCAGTCTCAGGAACTGTGAAATCGTTTTCTACTTGACCCAAAAGTCCTATTGAAATTAGGCTGCTCTTCCTTAGAAACAAAAACCATTGCAAATTAAATGTTCCTGAGATGAGCTCTGCAGCCTGCAGGGTTTCTAAGATGTGTATTCTGAATAAGAGAATAGTCTTTTATTTTCAGGGTAATTCTACACTTAATAGGAATTATTATATAAGTACTTTGAAAATAGCATTTGTTTTGTTTTGCTTTGACACAGGGTCTCACTTCCAGGCTGGAGTGCAATGGCGTGATCTCAGTTCACTGCAACCTCCACGTCCGAGGCTTAAGTGATCCTCCTACCTCAGCCTCCCCAGTAGCTGGGACTCCAGGCATGCATCACCATGCCCGGCTAATTTTTTGCATTTTTTAGTGGAGACAGGGTCTCACTTTGTTTCCCAGGCTGGTTTCAAACTCCTGGACCCAAGCAATCCATCCTCCTCAGCCTCCCAAAGTGCTGTGATTACAGGTGTGAGCCACCATGCCTGAGCCAGCATGCTTTGTTTTGTTTTAATGGAAAACTACTACAGGTTAAGAATTCCTGATTTTGATACTGCATAATACTAAGTTGTTTATGACAATAAGGATATTCTGTCTTCGTTAATATTTGGCACTTAACGTAATGTTTTACCTTTCATATTTGATATTGAAAATTTATGAGCCTAAGCCACATTTCCATCACTCCCAGTTGGTTAAGCTTCCTCACTATTGAATTTGTTTATAATTCCTTATTATAGGTATACAGTTCTATTTGAGGATTTAAAAGTAAAACAGGGCTGGGCGCAGTGGCTCACGCCTGTAATCCCAACACTTTGGGAGTGTGAGGCAAGTGGATAATTTGAAGTTAGGAGTTCAAGATCAGCCTGGCCAATATGGCAAAACCCTTCTCTACTAAAGATACAAAAATTAGCTGGACATGGTGGCACGTGTCTGTAATCCCAGTTACTTGAGAGGCTGATGCAGGAGAATCGCTTGAACCTGGGAGGCAGAGGTTGTAGGGAGCTGAGATCACGCCACTGCACCCCAGCCTGGATGACAGAGTGAGATGCCATCTGAAAAATAAATAAATAAATAAATAAAAGTAAAACAGTACATAGGCCAAGTTTGTGGTATGTGTGTTTCTATCCTACCAGTTTTAAGTTCTGTGAAAATATCATCTATGGGATCCTTTCCCTAAATATTAAAACTGGCACTTCAGGAGGCCAGGGTGGGAGGATCACTTGAGGCCAGAAGTTCCAGACCAGCCTGGATAACATAGTGAGACCTCATCTCTAAAAAAAAAAAAAAAAAAATTAAAAATTAGGCAGGCATGGTGGTGTGCACCTATAGTCCCAGGTATTCAGAAGGTTAAGGCAGGAAAATCACTTGAACCCAGGAGTTTGCGGTTGCCGTGAGCTATGTTCACGCCACTGCACACAGCCTGGGCAATAGAGTGAGACCCTGTCTCCTTAAAAAAACAAAACTGAACTAAAGCAAGTCTCCCTCTTGTCTCTCACCTCTTACTGTCATTTGAATTTGTTAGGCTTTCATACTGAAAACAAAGGTTGTACTTTACGTAGCAGTGAAAATAAGAATAAGCATAGCTTTTGGATCAGGAAGAATCTAATTTTCAGTTGGTTCACTAATAACCAACATTCAGTGAAAAGTCGTATGGGTCCTGCACCCTCATGTTGGAAATAGATGCTCGGTGCCGCAAAGAAAAATCAGCACTGAGACAAAGGATCTCTCAGCCACGCAACTTTTACTTCCTGGACCGCAGGAAGGGCACCCTCCCTAGCCATCGTGCCACAAGAGTACAGTGAACAAAGGAAAACAGACACATTTATCCCTTACGCATTTGGAGTCATCCTTACTACTGTGTCTGATCTCTGTTGGCTGGAGTCAGACCTCACAATCTAAACTAAAATCTGATTGGCTAACAACTTAAAACTTTTCTAAGCAGGTAAAAGCAATGGAGAGCTGGGACATGCCCGTGAGCACGTCCAGCACAGATATCTTTGTTAAAATACAAGGACATAGAACATACTATGTGCCTGTAAGCATGGCATGTCTGACAGCTACATAGAATAGAGGTTCACAAAGTTATTAGCACACTTATTCTTTTTTTTTTTTTTTGAGACGGCGTTTCGCTCTTGTGACCCAGGCTGGAGTGCAATGGCGCAATCTCGGCTCACTGCAACCTCCGCCTCCTGGGTTCAGGCAATTCTCCTGCCTCAGCCTCCTGAGTAGCTGGGATTACAGGCACGCACCACCATGCCCAGCTAAGTTTTTGTGTCTTTAGTAGAGACGGGGTTTCACCATGTTGACCAGGATGGTCGCGGTATCTTGACCTCGTGATCCACCCGCCTCGGCCTCCCAAAGTGCTGGGATTATAGGCTTGAGCCACCGCGCCTGGCCTAGCACACTTATTCTTTAACAAGAAAGGAAACCTTAAAAAGGAACTTTTCAACTTCCCACACTTCATACCTTCAGATTTGACAAGCATCCTTGTCACATATGGTCCTTGTTTGGGGGTCAGTTTGAGGCAGGCGTATCTGGAAAATCAGGTCCAGAGAGTTTCTATATCTCTCACTGCTCAGAAAGGTTCAGAAACATCCAATAACCACTGAATATTTTTAGCCTCCCCCATGCCCCATTGGTGGTTACAGTTTCTAGTGTCTCAAAAGAGCTAATCCTTTGAGACCAGGATTAGCTGGTCTCAATTGGACCACTTTTTTCTTGTGATTCTAAATTGGCCAAGGCCCAGTGTCATTTTGATCCTGAGCCTTGCACCTGGACTTGTGAGTGTGGTTCATTGGCCTCTGACTTGGCAGCAGGGCTCATGGCCACACAGATGCTACTGACAGACAGGGCCACATAGCCGAGTCATGTTCCTTATTCCCAAGCTGGAGCCGCCTTGGTTCAGATCCTCCTAAACAGACCCACAATGCCCAGGGATGCCCTCTGGGAGCCTTTGCTGAGTCTTCAACCCCTCATTGGCAGCAGGTTTTGACTCATTCGGGCAAAATCCCAGCAAGGGCGCAGTCTAAATGCAACACTCTGTCTTCTGTCTTCTCAGGGTCCTGTAGCATCCACCACATCAGCGTTTTCTGTCCTCTCCGCTGGGCCTGGCCTTCCTCCACCCCCTCCTCCTCCGCCTCCTCCAGGGCCACCTCCACTTTTTGAGAATGAAGGCAAAAAAGAGGAATCCTCTCCTTCACGCTCAGCTTTATTTGCCCAGCTTAACCAGGGAGAAGCGATTACGAAAGGTGAGAAAACAAGACCTTGAAGCTGCCTCCCTTTCCCTCTGGCTCCCAGACACAAAGGGCGGCCAGAGCCCAGTGACAGATGTATCACTCCATCCCTGTCCCCAGCATACAGGGAGAGTGGGGCTGGTGCTGGGAGGACAGGAGCCTGCTGTGTTCTTTATGTCCATGCAGATGGGCTCAGGGGGCCACTGTGCAGACCAGAAGGAAGATCTCGGAGACACTGGGTTCTAAATGGACCACTGTGCTGCATCCTTGCTTTACCCCTCGGTGCTTCCACATCATTGTCTGCAACCCAGGCATCAAGATCAAGTGAAATAAAAATGGCAGGCTAGGTGTGGTGGCTCACGCCTGTAATCACAGCACTTTGGGAGGCCAAGGCGGGAAGATTGCTTGAGCTCAGGAGTTCAAGTATAGCCTGGGCAACACAGTGAGACCCATCTTTACCAAAAATTAATGGAAATTAGCTTGGCATTGCAGCAGACACATGTAGTTCCAGCTGCTAAGGAATCTGAGGTGGGCGGATCATTTGAGCCCAGGAGGTAGAGGCTGCAGTGAGCTGAGATTGCACCACTGCAGTCCAACCTGGGTGACAGAGTGAGAACTTGTTTATAAACAAACAAATAAATAAATAAAAATGGCAAACATTAGCTCCTCTGTCTTGAAGCAGTATACAGGCTTATTGAAGAATTATATCCCCTCTATTTTGGGCTAGGAGCTAAGAATCCCAAATTCAAAATTTTTCTCTGGCTCCAACTGGCTCTGCTATGCCCTGTGAAACTCATTTACAAAGTAAAGGAATGGATTCACGAAGTCAGTTTCATATTCTGATATATACTCATTGGAATGCCCTAACCTTTTTGGCTGTGTCTGGAGAATGATTCAGCCATAAGAGAAGAAGTAAGACATGTGATCCTTTTTCATGAGGTGGTTTGATCTTTGCAGAATTTTTATGTGTCATTTTATCTCCCAACAGAAGAGGTTTAAAATAAAAATACTTGGTGGGGTGCCGTGGCTTATGCCTGTAATCCCAGCACTTTGGGAGGCCGAGGCAGGCAGGTCACTTGAGGTCAGGAGTTCAAGGACCAGCCTGGCCAACATGGTAAAACCCTGTCTCTACTAAAAATACAAAAATTAGCAGGGGTGGTGGCACTCCCCTGTAATCCCAGCTACTCGGGAGGCTGAGGCAGGAGACTTGCTTGAACCTGGGAGGCAGAGGTTGCAGTAAGCCAGATCACACCAGTGCACTCCAGTCTGGGTGACAGAGTGAGACTGTCTCAAAAAATAATAATAATAATACTTACAGTGCTTCTATCAACTCTACACTTATACAGGACTCAGATCCTGCATCCTAACTTGGAGAAAGCACTAGTCTGTTTTGAAAGTGGCATTACTAAAAGTTCTTGTGCTCTTTATGTATACCATGTTAATCTACCAAGTTAGAGACATTTCCCTTTGCATAAAATAATTGTGTCCGTGTGTGTTGCCCTCCTAGGGCTCCGCCATGTCACAGATGACCAGAAGACATACAAGAATCCCAGCCTGCGGGCTCAAGGAGGGCAAACTCGATCTCCCACCAAAAGCCACACTCCAAGTCCCACGTCTCCTAAATCCCATCCTTCTCAAAAACATGCCCCTGTGTTCGAGTTGGAAGGAAAGAAATGGAGAGTGGTAAGTGAAGTGCTTTAACCTGTATTCCTGACACGCACCAGTGAGAGGACCAACGGCAGAACCAGTTACCAAGATCTGAACGATTTCTTTTAATTTTTTATTGATACATAACATTTGTACCTATTTACGGGGTATCTGTGGTATTTTTTTACATGCGTAGAATGTGTAATGATCAGCCAGCCAGGCGTGGTGGCTCACGCCTGTAATCCCAGCACTTTGAGAGGCTAAGGTGGGCGGATCACCTGAGGTCAGGAGTTCAAGACTAGCTTAGCCAACATGGTGAAAACCCATCTCTACTAAAAAATACAAAAATTAGCTGGGTGTGGTGGCATGTTCCTGTAGTCCCAGCTACTTGAGAGGCTGAGGCTGGAGAATCACTGGAACCCAGGAGATGGAGGTTGCAGTGAGCGGAGATCACACCACCTCACTCCAGCCTGGGTAACCAGAGTGAAACTCTGTCTCAGAAAAAAAAAAGAATGTGTAATGGTCAACTCAGGGTATTTGGGATGTCCACTTGAGTATTTATCATTTCTATGTGATGAGAACATTTCGAGGCCTCTCCTCTAGCTATTTTGAAATATATAATACAGTGTTGTTAACTGAAGTTACCCTACTCTGCTACTGAAAAGTTAGAGTTTAGTCCTTCAGACTATTTGTTTGTACCCGTTAACCATCTAAGTGAAGTGACAGAGGTGAAAACCACAGGCTAGAGTAGGATATTTCTGAATGCTTCCATAAACTTCATGTTCACGAATTCTCATGCATTCTTTTCTTCAACTTTTTAAATTATTTTGTAAGTGGTCATAAAATACACATAACCTAAAATGAACTGTTTACCGTGTTTAAGTGTGCAGTTCAGTGGCATTAAGTCTGCCATCACCACCACCCAGCACAGAACTCTTTTCATCTTGCAGCACCAAAACTCTGTACCCTTAAATAGCTCCCTATTTCTGCCCCTGCACCCTCCCAGCCCCTGGCAATTACCATTTTACCTTCGGTCTCTATGAATTTAGCTATTCTTTCTATAAGCTTTTAATCAGGCAGTAAGACAGACCATTAATATATGAAACTGACTGGGCATGGTGGCTCACACCTGTAATCCCAGCCCTTTGGGAGGCTGAGGCCGGCAGATCACGAGGTCAGGAGATCGAGACCACGTTCACCAACATGGTAAAACCTCTTCTCTGCTAAAAATTAAAAAACTAGCTGGTGGCACGTGCCTGTAATCCCAGCTACTCGGGAGGTTGAGGCAGGAGAATCGCTTGAACCTGGGAGTTGGAGGTTGCAGTGAGCCAGATCCCGCCATTACACTCCAGCCTGGTAACAGAGTGAGACTCTGTCTCAAAAAAAAAGAAAGAAAATTATATATATATATGGAACTGAAAAGTCTGTGCCCCACTTTGATGTGCTGTGAGATGTTTCATTCAGTCTCACAGGTAGAGGCATTGATATCACTGTACCCTACTGCTGCCACCTGCCACTGTCCGGGCTAAGTGTGTGAGCAGGACGTAGACACTTCAGATGGGAGGGAGAGCTGGTGTCTCCTGCTGATCTGGAGGGCTTCCCTAAAGATGAAGGACAGAAATCCCTGGAGAGTTATCATCGCCTTGAAAACACATGGGGCTTAGCCCCTTGCTGTGACCCTTCACAGCCGTGTTTGCCCAACTCCTGTTTGACACAGCAGCTTTTGCTTGCAGCATCAAGTCCAGACTTGGCATCAAGGTCTCAACAAAAAGCTCTCACATCCCTGCTGGAGCCTCCCACCTGCTGGGGTGCCTGAGACCTGATGTTTACAAAGAGATACTGACCTGCTTCCAAGAAGTGGTTCCGTTTTTCCCATCGTAACAATGACAGAGGAAGGAGAGATGGTTCCAGAAGAATGTATTGCCAAGCCATACTTCACGCTGAGCTCATAGTAATTTCGGAGTGCGGTGGATTCTGTTTGTATATCCTTATGTTTCATATTTGTATTTGTTTTAATTCTAGGAGTACCAAGAGGACAGGAATGACCTTGTGATTTCAGAGACTGAGCTGAAACAAGTGGCTTACATTTTCAAATGCGAAAAGTCAACTCTTCAGATAAAAGGGAAAGTAAACTCCATTATCATAGGTAGGGCAGAATTACGGCTCTATGGTTATTATGATGTTATATAAATAAGTTGTATATATTTAGTGGAGTTGGTTTCTCGGTGTGTTTTTTTTCCCCTAGACAACTGTAAGAAGTTTGCCCTGGTGTTTGACAATGTGGTGGGCATTGTGGAAGTGATCAACTCCAAGGACATTCAAATCCAGGTGAGCAGCCTTTCCAGCCACGCTCTAAGCTGTGGCCTGGCACAGACCATCCACTCTGCCTGCAGGAAAGGGCCTTGCTCTCCTGTGGCCACCTAAAATACTCCTATTCCTGTTCCTTCTAGACCCAGCTCTGTCATCACCTCCTCGGTACACCCCTCTCTTACTTCTCAGTGTTAGTTCCTCTTTTCAGAGTCTTGTAACAGACCCCATTGTATGTTTCCACTACTGGCACACCATCCCTATTTCAAGGACAGCTAACTGGCCGGGCTTGGTGGCTCACACCTGTAATCCCAGAACTTTGGGAGGCCAAGGCAGGCAGATCACCTGAGGTCGGGGAGTTCAAGACCTGCCTGGCCAACATGGCAAAACCCCATCTATACTGAAAACACAAAAATTAGCCGGCCATGGTGGTGGGTGCCTGTAATCCCAGGTACTCAGGAGGCTGAGGCAGGTGAATCACTTGAACCTGGGAGTCAGAGATTGCCGTGAGCTGAGATCATGCCACTGCACTCCAGCCTGGGCAACAGAGTAAGACTCCATCTCAAAAAAAAAAAAAAAAAAAAAGGACAGCTAACTAATCTTTATATCCCCAAAAACTTGCCCAGTACCTGCACATAGTAGGCATCCAGTAAATGTTTGTTGAGTATGGTTTGAGTGAATCAACTAATGCATGAATAAAAATACTGTGAGACTCTCCTAGTATGATTAGCACCAAATCATTAGCACCGCATTCCAAAGAGAACTTTTTTCTCAGAAAAAATTGGTCCTGGATGATGAGGAGGAAAAGTTTTTCTAAACAATCAGTGGAATCAGAGAAACAACCTGGGAAGTAGAGTTGGAGTTGAATTTGCAAAACAGAAGAAAATCTGTGAATTAAAATCTTCAATAATTTTGGTTTAGCCAGATGGAATTTTCTAATATGCCAAAATCTAAAGGACTTACTGGTTTTGGCCAGTTGTAACTTCTATCTTTTTTTTTTGGAGACAGAGTCTTGCTTGAGCCTAGACTAGAGTGTAGTGTTGTGATCATAGCTCACTGCAGCCTCAAACTCCTGGGCTCAATTGATCCTCCCACTTCAGCCTCCTGAATAGCTAGGACTATAGGAGTGTGCCACCATCTGGCTAATTTTTTTATTTTTTGTAGAGACAGGGCCTAGCTATACTGCCCAGGCTGGTCTCGCATTCCTGGGCTCAAGTGATTCTCCCACCTCAGCCTCCCAAAGTGCTAAGATTACAGGTGTGAGCCATCATACACAGCCCCATAACTTCTATCTTTAATTACATTTTTTTATATTATTATCCTTTACTATCTGACATTTTCTAATAATGCTTGTTAAAATTGGAATCAGGTTTTAGGGGTCTTTTTCTTTTGTGTTGTTGGGCTTCTTACCACTGACACTTTTAATTAGAGTATGTTCTTGAGTGTATGTTTTACATTTCACTGTCCTTTAAGAAGTTGGGGCTGGGTACAATGGCTCACACCTGTAATACCAAGAATTTGGGAGGCTGAGGCAGGTGGATCACTGGAGCTCAGGAGGTCAAGACCAGCCTGAGCAATATAGTGAGACCCTCTCTCTACTAAAAATTTAAAAAATTACCCGAGCATGGTGGCAGGCACCTACTTGGGAGACTGAGGTGGGAGGATCGCCTGGGCCCAGGAGGTCAAGATTGCAGTGAGCCATGATCAAGCCGCTATACTCCAGCCTGTGTAACAGAGGTAAACTCTGTCTCCAAAACAAAAAATGGCAGTGAGCAAATAAGAAAAGAATCCTTGCCCACATGAAGCCTAACATTCTGGCAGCACTATCTCCCAGTTTCGTTTTCCTTTTTTATTTTGAGATGGAGGCTTGCTCTGTGGCCCAGGCTGGAGCACAGTCTCAGCACAATCTCAGCTCACTGCAACCTCTACTTCCCACGTTCAAACAATTCTCATGCCTCAGCCTCCTGAGTAGCTGGGATTATAGGCACCCACCACCACACCCAGTTAAGTTTTTGTATTTTTAGTAGAGACAGGGTTTCTCCATGTTGGTCAGGCTGGTCTCAAACTCTTGACCTCAAGTGATCCACCTGCCTCGGCCTCCCAAAGTGCTGGGATTATAGGTGTGAGCCACAGCACCCAGCCCCAGTTTAGTATTTCTGATCACCACATTTATTCATTTAATAACACAACTTTCCCCTCAAACTATTATGCATGAAAATGTTAAGGAAGTCACTCATCTTCAGAAAAAGCCCAGTACCTCAAGGATGATCATGGTTCATAGAAACCTAATGAGACCACACTTTCTGAAGAGCTATTTTGGATGGTGGGAGTTCCTATGTAAAAAACCAAGCTTTTTCCCACTTTACATTATTTTTAATTTTATAAAACTAGAACTAACAATAGCGAAGTAATATTTGATGGCAGAGGTGAGAGGACATGTTTAGCCATAGTCATGCAATCATAGTGTGTTACAGTTGAAAGCATCTCAGAAATAATGCAATCTAACACACATACCACAGACACACCTTAATTTTAGAGAGTTTATTTCAAGTTCCCTCTTATTCTTACAGAAATTGAGCTTAGGTAGCAATGGGTGAAACCATAAATAAGGAGTTAGCATTTTTTAATGTAAATACATCACATTCAAAATATACAACCAAATAAATTCAGTATAAAACATGAAACCATGAAGAAAATAGGAAGTTCTAAATATTTGTCATGATTTTGGGGGAAGAAAATTATCCTAAACCAAGAAGAAATAGAAGAAATTTTCAAAACAGATAGGCAGATATGTCTACCTAAAAATTTAAAACTTCTGAATTCCATACAATGGAATATTGTGTAACTATTTTTAAAGTTATCTAGAAAGATATTTATTATATTTTGTTAGGAGAAGATAATAGTCTTATACCATTATGAAGAGCATGATTTCATTATTCTAAATGTATACATGTAAATACCTATATATGCACACATATATATCCTAGGATATATATATACACATATATATATACCTATATATCCTAGGATATACATATATCCTAGGAAAAAGTCAGAAGGAATATATTACATTTCACAACTGAGTTAAGGGTATCTGTGGCACTCCTATAGCAAAAATACTTCATTTGAAGCTTCAGGATTCACATTAAAACCAAATTTACAGCAATAAAGATGCATGGTTAAAAAAAAGAATAAGAAAATAGAGGCAGAAACAAGGAGAGAATTCCTTCTGTCACTGCTTATGTTTAATAATGCATTAAAAGTTCTAACCTAAGGAATAAGATAAGTAAAATAATTGAGATATAAAATTGGAAAAGGAAGAGACAAAAATGTCCTTATTTCTCAACAAAATAAATGCCTTTATATAAAACCCAAGAGAGTTAAGAAACTGTAAAACTAAAGAAACATTCAGCAAGATAGGAGAATATAATATGAACATGTAAAAATCAGTAGTATTTCTTTCTACCACAAATAAGTTCTAGAAAATGCAGTAGAGGCTGGGTGCAGTGACTCATGCCTGTTTCCCAGCATTTTGGGAGACCAAGGCAGGTGGATCATGAGGTCAGGAGATTGAGACCATCCTGGCTAACACAGTGAAACCTCATCTCCACTAAAAATACAAAAAATTAGCCAGGTGTGGTGGCATGTGCCTGTAGTTCCAGGTACTCAGGAGGCTGAGGCAGAAGAATCACTTGACCCTGGGAGGTGGAGGTTGCAGTGAGCCAAGTACAGTGCATTGTGCTACTGTACTCCAGCCTGGACAACAGAGTGAGACTCTGTCTCAAAAAAAAAGAGCAATAGAAAATTAGGTTGAAATAGCTATTTTGTTGCTACATGCAACAAAACTGGAGGAACCTAGCAAAAAATTAAACAGAAATGGGAGATAGTTAGCAAGAGTGATGTTGTAAGTAAATGGACAGGAAGACATCCCTATCAATGGTCTTAGTTATTTAATGTGAGTTTAATAAAATTCAGCTCAAAATTTCAACAGTTTTAAATGAAAAATGGTCTCAAAATTCATTTGTAAAACAAATGGACAAGAATAGCGAAAACTATGTGAAAGATGAATGAGGTGAAGAGACTTGCATACCTGATGTTGACTCACTGTAAATGCTATATTGTTTGTGGTATACAAAAATAGATAAATGAAACAGATTGGCAAGCCCTGAAATCGATAAATGCATAGATGGAAATTTGTATTTTAGGACAATTGATTATCCTTGTGGGAAAAAAATACACTGAATCATACATAAAAGTATAATGCTAATTGTGAAAATTGCATTTCAACTTTGATAATAACATGTAGAAGAAAAATTTTATGCCTCGGAGTAGGAAATAATTAGAGTCAAAAACCACAAACCATAGAGAAAGGACTGGTCATTTTAACTACATTAAAATTTAAATTATATGTTTAACAGAAGACATTATATACAAAGCTGAAAGACAAGCCATTGACTGAAGAAATATATTTGCAATGCAAATAATCAAAAAGGATTTGTATCTAGAATTTATAAAGAACTTAATAAGAAAAAGGCTGCCAGGCACGGTGGCTCATGCCTATAATCCCAGCACTTTGGGAGACTGAGATGGGTAGATCACCTGAGGTCAGGAGTTCGAGACCAGCCTGACCAACATGGTGAAACTCCATCTCTACTAAATACAAAAAAAATTAGCCAGGCATGGAGGTGCATGCCTGTAGTCCCAGCTACTCAGGAGGCTGAGGCAGGAGAATCTCTTGAACCTGGGAGGCAGAGGTTGTAGTGAGCCAAGATCATGCCATTGCACTCCAGCCTAGGCAACGAAAGTGAAACTCTGTCTCACAAATAAATAAATACATAAATAAAATAAAAAATTTAGAAAGCACATCTAGAAATTCCAAAACATTACTGCGGACACATTCTTGAAATACAGATATATGTGCCATATTATTATTTGCGGGAATACAAATGTGTACCTGACCTTGAACTACCCCTGCATTTTTCTTTTTTTTTTTTTTTTTTTTTTTTTTTTCACTGACACTCAATTCCAGTTCAGTGTCCAGTTTCTGTGGAGAGAGAGGAGGAAACAGAGAACCAGAGTGACCTGGCCAGACTCCCCACAAGGAATTCTTTACATCACTTGCACTATCAATAGGAGTTGCTCCTGGTTTGCAATCCAGTCTTTTCTCCACAGTGAAAGAAGAGATGTCTTTATCGCTTTAATTACCATGACAAGAAGGAAAATTATAGAGTTGTAATATGGTCTTTGGGTGAACAGTCTGCCCTTATGGAGATTTTAGGGGGGATGTCTGAAAACTGATTGTTAGAAGAGAAATTTAAAACCAATCCGAATTTTTATAGCACTTCGATATTTATAAACAATACAAAGAATCGCCTCCTCTTTTGTATGATCCTATTTATTTGTATAACAAGTATCCTGAGCCAAGCCCAGGTTTTGGCTCCTGAAATGAATACATTTCAAAATACCTAGACATTCATCTCATGTAAGCCTCAAATTCAGCCACTGAGATTTTTATCCAGCAGAGGACTTAGGCGAAAAGAATGGTAGTATTCCTTATTTAAGTTCAGGAAAAATCTACTCAATTTTTACTTAAGAATAGTTTTGCCTATAAATGACAACATTAGAACTTCTTTTAATCCTAGTTTCTTAGAGATTTGTCAAAAGTAAAATTTCAAGCAGATGAATGTAAATGCATCTTGTTTCTTTTATCATGTAATCAAATACATCAAATCCACTAACAAGGTTGTGAGGCTTTTTCTGAACATCTAGCTGCTGTTTCCAAATTAATCGCTTAACTTTGTCTCAGGAAAGAGACCCTGAGGTTTGCGAATCCCCTTGTGTGGTCCTTTTTATTCTGTCCCCAAATGACACCTATCCTACTCTGCCTGAAGACTTTGCCATTTCCCACCTTCCCAGCTCTGACCCACTGAATCTTAATGCTTTGTTAAGCCCAAGTTAAAGCCAAGAGGAATGGCGACTGTATTTATTTGAGGGCCGGAAATTGTTATTTCTGTTTCTTTCCTTTGGTCCCAGATTTTTTTCCCTCTTTCAGGTAATGGGGAGAGTGCCCACAATTTCCATTAATAAGACAGAAGGTTGCCATATATACCTCAGTGAAGATGCATTAGACTGTGAGATCGTGAGCGCCAAGTCATCTGAAATGAACATACTTATCCCTCAGGATGGTGATTATGTAAGTACCTTTCCAAAGCTGTCAAGAATTTTTCTTGAGCCTTCATTATTAACATTCTTAGAGATTGATCAATCAACTACCAACCTGTGAGCTTTGTTTGTAGCATAATTCACAGGCAGGAGAGGCATTCAGGGAGCTGTCTTCATATCGCTTGCTGCCTATTAGCTTTTTGACTGTACTCACTCCTGGATTTGTGATTCTCAAGATAGTGTCCTAATAATTAGTTTTTAATGGACTAGCTTTTATCAAATAGCACAGCATGGGCTGGGCACAGTGGCTCACGCCTGTAATCCCAGCACTTTGGGAGGCCGAGGTGGGCAGATCATGACGTCAAGAGATCGAGACCATTGTGGCCAACATGGTGAAACCCCGTCTCTACTAAAGATACAAAAAAATTAGCCAGGCATGGTGGCACACGCCGGTGGTCCCAGCTACTCGAGAGGCTGAGGCGGGAGAATCGCTTGGACCCAGGAGGCAGAGGTTGCAGTGAACCAAGATTCAGCCACTGCACTCCAGCCTGGTGACAAAGCAAGACTCTGTCTCAAAAAAAAAAAAAAAGCACAGCATGCATCTGAGTTCACATTATGTAGGACTAAGTATTTTCCTATATTCTGGTGGAGGTAAACAGGAAAGAAAGAGAATTACTTCAGGGGGAAAATAGGAGGACAGAGAAGAGACAGTAAGTAAGTAGGCCTATTTGTGCAGCTTGAGTGAGAGGTTAAGTGTAAGAATCAGGAACATTTGTGAAATACCAATTCCTTAATCTTGGACACAGAGGTTGGATTAAGGAGGCTTGGGGTAAGGCCTAGGAATCTGGATTTTTAACAGGCATATTCAGTGATTCTTTTTTTTGAGACGGAGTCTTGCTCTGTCACCCAGCCTGGAATGCAATGGCATGGACTCGGCCCACTGCAACCTCCACCTCCTAGGTTCAAGCGATTCTCCTGCCTAAGTCTCTCAAGTAGCTGGGATTACAGGTGCCCACCACCATGCCAGGCTAATTTTTGTATTTTTAGTAGAGATGGGGTTTCACCCTGTTGGCCAAGCTGGTCTCAAACTCATGACTTCATGATCTGCCCGTCTCGATCTCCCAAAGTGCTGGGATTACAGGCATGAGCCACCACACTTGGCCCATATTCAGTGATTCTAATGCCATTAGTCCGTCCAACAGCCCTTCTGAGAAACTCTAGCCTATGGGATTTGGCCACTGTTTATTTTCTTTGCTTTCTCTCCTCCACAAACCAGCTTCTAAAAGAAGCATACACATATTCTCACACATTGAAAAGGGAGTAGAAGTAAGTAAGTGCATTTCCGGGCTCATGAAGTGTGATGGATCTGCTAGTTGCTACTTGGAAGTGGGGAAATAAATACAGAGAAAATTCCCTCTTAAGTTTCCCTGTGCAGGGAGGCAGTGAACAAGGGAAAGATGGGAGAAAACATAACTTAGCAGGCATACATCTGAAGAGGAGCTCCCTCAGCCTGAGGGGTCAGTTGCCAGGACCCATACAGCAATCAACACGCAGGTTGATCTTAAGCAGACAGCTTGACCGCTGCCATGTTCTCCCTTACCCACCTGGCAGTAAGTTCTTCAGCTCCGCTCAGCCACATTTCATACATTACAGGCCAGAATTCATTTCGGTTTAAAAAACAAAACTCCAGAAGCCTCAGGCCATGCTTCACTAGTGAGTGTGTATGGACAGCCTAACCCTGAGCTAGAGAAGAATCCCCTCTTGGGCTCGCCACCTAAAAAACTCCTGGATTGCTGACGCCAACAGATTCAGCATAGGAGAGCCAAGAATTGGAGGGAGCCCTGGCCTTTTCAGCTGTATGGGACTAGATCTCCTGAGGAAAGCAGTGGGGTTTGGGTGAACACTACAGACCTATGAAGCTGGAATCTATGGGCGTGGGACCCAAGTACCTGTAATTGTTAAAGATTCCCAGGTGATTCCAGTGGGGAGCCAACATTGAGATCCACTGGCCTGAAGGAGGAGTGTGGCCAGGTGCAGTATCTCATGCCTGTAATCCCAGCACTTTGGACAGCTGAGGCGAGCGATCACGAGGTCAAGAAAGAGATTGAGACCATCCTGGCTAACACGGTGAAACCCAGTCTCTACTAAAAATACAAAAAATTAGCTGGGTGTGGTGGCACGCACCTGTAGTCCCAGCTACTCCGGAGGCAGGAGAATAGCTTGAACCCAGGAGGCAGAGGTTGCAATGAGCCAGGATCACACCACTGTACTCCAGCCTGGTGACAGAGTGAGAGTCTGTCTCAAAAAAAAAAAAAAAAAAAGAGTGTAAGTCAAAACCTGAGTGTTCGTGATAAAAACCAAGGTCTTGCCTCTTACAGGTCGATTACCTTGTGACCCTCTCTTATAGGTCAATTACCTCGTGACCCTCTTCTGGTGTTCTCGGTTGGAGCTGGTAGGGAACAACACAGAGGCTCTGCCATGGGCATTATGGTGTGGGAATGGATGGAGGGGATGACTCATCTTGAAAGAAGTTGGTCTCCCAGGGAAGACCCGTTAGCATATTACTAACCCCTCACTGCTCAGAACAGATTTGGGACAGCTGTAGTGCAGGTACTATCAAAGCGGTGCCCTCATCTGGCACCTTCCCTGCCTGGCCTGCTTCTTGAGAACAAACACCAAGACTTGTCTACTCATCCAGAAGAGCCCCAGGAGGAATACCGGCTGCACAAACACACACATTATTCAGATTGTGGGTTCTTTACTTCAAGATGTTTCCATTGCAGATTTTACTCAAAAAAAATACATCACTCATTCTAGCAAGGGCTTTGCCTTTTGTTTTATTTATTTATTTATTTGCTGGTTTGTTTTTTCAGACAGGGTCTTGCTCTGTTCTCCAAGTCATGGCTCACTGCAGCCTCGACCTCAATCAGTCTTCCTGCCTCAGCCTGTCAAGTAGCTGGGACTACTGCCGTGTGCCACCACGCCCTGCTAATTTTTGTATTTTTTGTAGAAACAATATCCCTGAGGACGGACAAAGACAAAGGGGAGGGTGGGATTACCATCTCCACTCCTGGGAATCCTTCTGTGCAAGTCTGCCAAAGGAGATGCCAAATCAGAGTGGCTCTTCAGCAGCACTACACTGTGTAAGGTTTGTCCTTGGACAGTGGGGTCTCACTATGTTGCCCAGGCTGGTCCCAAACTTCTGGGCTCAGATGATCTGCTGGCATCAGCCTCCCAATGTGCTGGGATTACAGGCATGAATCATCATGCCTTGCCCAGGCCTTTCCTTTTAAATGAATGAATGGCTTCATCCAAAAGAAACAGTTGGATCCTACTTCCGGGAAGATAGGTACCCATGTGTGTTCCACTGGAACGCCACAGTTTATGAGCGTAGGCATCAGTTTATCAGACACATGAGGTTTCAACAAGCACTGCATGGACTGGAAGTCTGAGGAGGCCCGGAAACTGGGTCCAAGGCCTCCTTCCCTTGGAGAGGTTTTTTTATCTTCTTCTGAAGGTCTATCCTTCTTCCTTGCCTTGGAGATCTTCTGTCCTCTTCTGAAGTGCGACTGGAGAATCACTCTCTGGGAAAGGAGAGTGTTGACTCAGACTACTTTCTTTTGACTATTCTCTATTATTGGTGTGTGTGCATTTTCCAATGGGAAGAGTAGGGTGCCATGGTGAAGGGTAACAAACATATATATAACCCTAAGCTCACTTTTACAATTTATCAAGGAGTTGAGGGCTACCTCTGGGATAAAACCTTTCTTCTACATGTGGCAGGGACCAGCAGCATCACCTGGGAGCTTGTTGAAAATGCAAATTCTTATTCCATTCCCCAGACCTACTGAATCAGAATCTGCATTTTCCTAAGATCCTGAATCAGAATCTGGATTTTATTATTTTTTGGGGGGGGGTGGGGGAAGACAGAGTTTTCTCTTTTGTTGCCCAGGCCAGAGAACAGTGGCACAATCTTGGCTCACTGCAACATCCACCTACTGGGTTCAAGTGATTCTTCTGCTTCAGCCTCCTGAGTAGCTGGGATTTATAGGTGTCTGCCACCATGCCCGGCTAATTTTTTGTATTTTCATAGTAGAGACGGGGTTTTGCCATGTTGGCCAGGCTGGTCTCAAACTCCTTACCTCCTTGGCCTTTCAAAGTGCTGAGATTACAGGCATGAGCCACTGCGCCTGGCCAGAATCTGTATTTTAATAAGATCCCAGTTGATTCATGTGCATGTTAAAGTTTAGTGGGGAGTAGTGGGTAAGATAGAGCCCAGGTTTGATTTCTGGATGTGCTGCTTACTGGCCGCATCATTTGGGGCCAGTTGCTTCATCGCTCAGGCCTCTGTTTCCTACAGATGACATCCCAAGAACTCCTAGCTCGTAGGGTTATTATAAGAGATCTGCTGAGTTCATCTCTGTCCAGGGCTTAGAAGGATGCCTGGTTCATTATAAATGATGCTTTTAGCTTTAACCGTGATACTGGCTTGAAGTGACAGAATTGACACATGACGTATACAAGTCAGCACGTGACAGAGACCTTCCCATGACGCAGCTTGCAATTCCATCGAATTTCTTTGTCATGTGGCACAAATCAGCCTCTCCATCTGTTTGCCAAAAAAAAGCCTTCATTTAAATCACTTTGTCGTAGTTTAAATCACTTTGTTGTTCTTGCCTTTTTCCAGAGAGAATTTCCCGTTCCTGAACAGTTCAAGACAGCATGGGATGGATCCAAGTTAGTCACTGAACCTGCAGAAATTATGGCCTAACTTCCCCGAGAGACGGAACCTCTTCAGCTGAATACCTGAATCCCCCTATCAAACAAACAAAAAAGCAGCAGTAAAGAGCTAGAAGTTGCAGTAGCCCCTACTGCGTTAGCTTTGGCCTCCAGCGATTCTGTGCTATAGACACAGCACTGTTTCTGGCACGCCTCGTGGGCATTTTGAAATATTTAACATTTCCTCATTATTTGCCTTTGTGTGTGATTTTAGTTCCACGTGATGACTTGTGAACATTATGGATTTAAAGGAAAAAAAAAGAATTTTGTTCCCCTCATATCAGGAACACAGTAAATAATAGGTAAAAAGACTGCATGATTCACTTTTACACTTATGTTTCATTGCTAGTTAAAAAATAATACCTTTGAGAATCTAAGATGTACATTTTTACCTTTTAGACAATTTCAATATAACATAGAAGCAGTAGTGTGCCCTGAAAAATGTACACATTTTTTCTTATTGTTACCACATGTTCAGCATTATCAGCGTGGATATCATCAGCATGAGTACATATTTCAACCCACACTTTTGCAAGATATGAGTCCATATTAAGGACCAAATTCCGTTTCTTGGTCCTTCAAAGACCTGTATTCTCTGTAGTTACTCAAAACTGAAAATAAATTCTGATTATAATTATCCATCTTAAATATTTTTCCACCATGTCATCTGAAAACTTACTTTTCTTGTGCATAAGAGATTCTTATGCCAAAACATTCATCAGGAGAAATCGTTTTGGCTATGGAATACCTCGCAACTCTGCTCTAAAATCAAGCTCAGTTATTGTTTTCCAAGTTTGAAGCTGTTAAATATCAGATGCCTTGTAAATTATGTCTTTCATGTTTTATTATAGACTGATTTCCTCCTTTCCACCTGCCAGACTTGCTAGCCAGGCCCCAAAGTGAACATGAAAAAGCCATACATGTATACTTCTCTTAAAACCTAAGGCGTTGTCTGTTGGTTTGGCTTGCTGCTTCTATTTTGTAGTCTTGATAGTAGATGCTGCTTCAGCGTAAGAGTAGCTGTGCTATTCCTTTGTATCTTCTCAGTACGTAGTGCTGAAAATCTGCAACTTCTTGGATCACATTTAATGAATTATAGTCTAATGCTTGCAGGCCCAGTACAAGCATATATATTGTGCCTATTACAGCCTTTGGGATACATCCTTTCCGTTTTTTAAATACCTTCTATATCCATATAGTATTCAAATTATTAATGCTCATGTATCTAGGTTTTTGCTATAAAAGTTTTGTCTGTATGAATAATGTGGCTTTAGTAAATAATCATTTTTCAACTGTAAACTTATTCTGAAATAAAGTAAAATTCTAATTGTTTAAAAATTCTGGCTGTTAAAATGATTTTCTTCCACTTTGATTCTCCCCTTGCTCTTGTGTCAGACTTAGGAAAGACAGCTGAGTCCTTCTGGTTGAATCAGAGAATTTATCCAGCATGCCGCCAGCTTCTCTGATGAATGGTGTCTCCTGTGAGATAGAGCCATTTGCAGTTGGATCGACTGTCAGAAAATTCTAGAATTTAGTTTTGTAAATCAAGTCCTCTTCACCGAGAGAATCCTCCTTATAGATCTTGGTTAATGTAAACATCCCTGAACGTAAGTGATCCTGTAAATACCATACATACATTATAAACATACAAATAACATAATAAATGTGTAAGTAAACTTCTAAAAAAACTGAGAAGAAAAGACCCTAAAATGGATATATTATCTACCCATAATATAGCAATCATTTTATATTGAGAAATAAGTCCTCTCAATTCTTAGAAGCTGTCAACTGGCCTCAGATTGACACACACCTGTAATCCCAGCTACTTGGTAGGCTAAGAAGGAGAATCGTTTGAACCTGGTAGGTGGAGTTTACAGTGAGCCGAGATCACTCCGCTGCACTCCAGCCTGCGAGACGGATACAAGACTCCATCTCAACGACAACAACACAAAGGTAGGTTGAATTTGTTGAAAAACCTTTGGCAAGTCTTGCAGCATGCTTCACCGTATATATTGAAAATCTGGACTTGAGGCTCAATGATTGTTTTACCAGCCCAGTATTCCTTAAGCCAGGGGTCCTAACCCCCAAGCTGCAGACTGGTACTGGTCCATGGCCTGTTAGGAACTGGGCGGCAAAGCAGAAGGTGAACAGTTGGCAGTTGGCAAGCCAGAATTACCACCTGAGCTCTGCCTCCCGTCAGATCAGCCGCAGCATTAGCTTCTCACAGGAGTGTGAATCCTGTTGTGAATTGTGCATGTGAGGGATCTAGGTTGCGTGCTCCTTAGGAGCATTTAAGACCTGATGATCTGTGGTAGAACAGTTTCATCCTGAAATTATGCCCCACACCCCAGCCCGTCTGTGGAAAAATTGTCTTCCACAAAACTGGTCCCTAGCGCAAAAAGACTGGGGCCTACTGCCTTAAACCATCTACTCAAGTAACGTAAGAGTAGGTTGAATTCAGCTAGTGATACTGTTGGGAATTAAAAAGGAAAAGAGAAAAAGAAAAGAGTAGGTTGAATTCTGGCTTATGCCTGCAATCCCAGCACTTTGGGAGGCCAATGCAGGTGGATCGCCTGAGCTCAGGAGTTCAAGACGAGCCTGGCCAAATGGTGAAAACCTGTCTCTACTAAAAATACAAGAATTAGCTGGGCGTGATGACACACACCTGTAATCCCAGCTACTTGGTAGGCTAAGAAGGAGAATTGTTTGAACCTGGTAGGTGGAGTTTGCAGTGAGCCGAGATCACTCCGCTGCACTCCAGCCTGCGAGACGGGCACAAGACTCCATCTCAACGACAACACAAAGGTAGGTTGAATTTGTTGAAAAACCTCTGGCAATGTATAAGTATTGTACTGGAGCGAGCGTAGAAGGTCAGCACCAAGACAAAAGTATGCCAAATTGTGGGGTCTTTATTGCCGGCGTCCACGGAGGACTCGCGTTTCTCCAACCCGTGACCCCGAAAGGAGGGTGTCAAGACCTTTTATGCCCGTAAACCGCCTCAGGGGTGAGGGGTGGGGGTAAGGTTGAGGGGCTTCTGACATTCTGAAGGCCAGGGGACTTTGGACATTCCAATTGTTACTTAGGTGGTTCACAGAAGTCAAGATAAGCGTCAGTTTACACATTGTCTGGGTAGGGTGGAAATTACAGACCTTAGTTACTTATTACAAGTCGCAGGGGCCAAGATGGCGTGGGTTTGGACTGCTTGCCTGTCACATCAGGGTTACAGAGAGCAGTTTCCACAGAAAGCCGAGGCATGGCTGAGGTATACAGTTTTATGGCGCTTTTACCATGTTACATTCCCCCCTTGTTTTATTTATGGGAATTAAATCATTAATTCCTCCAGTAGGGTTAGTATTGTTTGTTTGTTCTAAGGGGGGTTTGCTCTAGGGATTTACAGCACGGATTAGGGTGGTGACCTCGAGAGTGCACGAGTCTGAGCTTTAGTGAATCGGGGGATGAGTGTTTGATGCTCCATTGTCCTCTTGGCGCAGTCTTGACGTGGGTGTGATGAATCCAGGCCGTTAGTCTGTCCACCTTGAGTGTGGTGGGTGTGATTAGGATAACCGTGTAGGGTCCGTTCCAGCAGGGGTGTGAGGCCGGAGGTGGCGAATCTTTTAACAAGGATAGAGTCTCCAGGCTGGAAGGGGTGTGTTGGCTGCTCTGCAAGGTCCAGTGGGGTGGGACGGGTGTCCTTAGTGAGCTGGTGTACCTGGGATTGAACAGACTGGAGCTCCTGTAAGGACTTAAGGAGTGTATAGTTATTGACTTCAGCATACATGGTATCCTCAGGTCTGGGGAGTAAGGGAGGGGGGCTGCCGAACATGATTTCAAAAGGGGAGAGACCTTTCTGACAGGGTGTGCATCGGTCGCGGAGGTGGACAGAAGGAAGCAGGCTGACTCAGTTTTCACCAGTTTCTAAGATAAACTTTGTCAGGGTTTCTTTTGGGGTCCGGTTCATTCGTTCGACCTGTCCTGAACTCTGGGGACGATAGGCACAGTGTAATTTTCAGGATATACCCAGGGCCTTAGCTAGGCCCTGAGAAATTTGTACAGTAAAGGCAGGCCCATTGTCTGACCCCAGCATCAGAGAGAGGCCGAACCAAGGAACAAGGTCCTGTAATAGTTTTCTTGTGACCACCAAAGCAGTCTCAGACTTAGTGGGGAACGTATCTATAAACACCAGGATGTATTTATAGCCATTTGCTTTATTTCAGTGAAATCTACTTCCCGGTGCTCCCCAGGGCTAGCCCCGCTGAGTCTCACTCCTGCCTGGCTAGACCTGTTCCCTCCCGGATTTCCTCGGGCACATACGTCACACCAAGTGGTAATTTTCCTGATAAGTTCATATAAGTGGGGGATGTAGTACTTGGCTTTTAGCAGCTCAGTTAGTTTGGTCTGTCCTAAGTGAGTGGCCTGGTGTGTGTCCTCAACTAGGGACCGTCCTAGAGCCTCGGAGACCACATTCCTTGTGTCTGGTAGAATCCACCATCCTGTGGAATCTTGTGTGCCCCCTTGTTCTTTAGCAAAGTTTTCTTCATCAGGCGAGTATGTAGGAGTGGGGGGCAGGGTTGGGGCCGGCAGAGTCACAAGAAGAGTCAGAGGTTTTACTGGTCCCAAGGCTGCCTGTCTGGCTTGCAGGTCAGCCGCCCCGTTTCCCCTTGCCTCTGGTGAATCTCCCTCCTGGTGTCCTTTGCAGTTATTAATGCCACTGCCTTGGGCTTTTATATTGCCTCTAGCAGGGCTAGGATTTCCTCTTTGGTTTTGATGGTTTTTTTCCTCTGAGGTAAGTAGCCCTCTTTCTTTATAAATGGCTCCATGTACATGAGCCGTAGCAAAGGCATACCGGCCATCCGTGTAGATGTGAACAGTTTTTCCCTCCGCCCAGTCAAAGGCCTTTGTCAGAGCTATGAGTTCTGCCTTTTGGGCTGAGGTTCCATGTGGAAGAGCCTGGGCCCAGACAACCCGCTCTAGGGTGACTACGGCTGCCCGGCATTCCTGACTCCGTCGACCATGAAGCTGCTGCCATCCGTACACAGTACCTCTGGGTTCTGCAGGGGGACGTCGGTGAGGGCCGGTCGAGCCGCGTGGAGGACGTCCATTGTCTGTTGGCAGTCATGTATGGGCTCCTCCGGCTCGCTGTCTGGTAGCAGCGTGGCGGGGTTTAAAACTGTAGCCTTTAAAAACTTTATGTGGGGCTGGTCCAAAAGGAAGGCCTGATATTGAACTATGCGGGCATTTGACATCCATTTTCCAGGAGCTCCACGGAGTAGTGACTCTACCATGGGGGTGTAACTAAGTTTAACCCCTGCCCCAAGGTTACTTTGTCCGCCTCCTTGACTAACAGGGCTGTAGCTGCCACCAACCTCAGACAAGCTGGCCACCCAGAGGTTATGGGATCAAGTCTTTTTGAAAGGTAGGCGACTGGCCGGGACCATGGTCCCAACGTCTGGGTAAGCACCCCCTACACAACTCCCTGTTTTTCATGCACAGACAGCCAGAAGGGTTTAGAGATACCTGGCAAGGCCAAGGCTGGGGCCGCAGTCGGGGCAGTCTTAAGCTTGTCAAAAGCCCGTTGCTCTATCTCTGTCCATGTCAAGGGCTGGTTTCCTCCAGTGCAGGCATACAGGGGCTTGGCTATCTTGGTGAATCCCAAAATCCATAGCCTGCAGTACCCTACTGCCCCAAGGAATTCTCGAACTTGGCGTTTCGTGGTGGGGGTGGGTATTTGCAGTACTGCTTGGACTCAGCTAGGTGCCTGTGCCTGGTTGCCCTTCTCTATGATACAGCCCAGGCAAGTAACTTTCAGTTGGCAGAGCTGGGCCTTTTTAGCTGAGACCCAGTAATCCAAAGTCTGTAGGGTCTTTAATAATGACTGGATGGTCTCTTTACAAGCCTCCTGGGTTTTTGTAGCCAAGAGGAAGTCATTCACGTATTGGAGTAGGGTGCACTTGGGGGACTTAGCTCGGAAGGCGGTAAGATCTTTGCTAAGTACCTCGTCAAACAGAGTGCGGAGTTTTTGAACCCCTGAGGCAGTCTTGTCCAAGTGAGTTGCCCCGAGACCCCAGTATCAGGGTCAGTCCATTCAAAAGCAAATATGGGCTGGCTAACAGGGGCCAGTGGGATGCAAAAGAACGTATCCTTGAGATCCAGGACAGTGTAATGGTGGTGTTCCGGGCCCTAGAGACTTAGGAGGGTGTACGGATTTGGAACTGCACTCATTTGTTTACCTGCCTTAAGTCCTATACAGGCCAATAGTCCTTTGTGCCAGGTTTTAAGATGGGGAGCAAGGGGGTATTCCAGGGAGACTTACAGGTAGTAAGGCTCCCTCCTTTTAGGAG